CGGGGCGGCTGGGACAGCGGCACAAGCTCCTCCATGCGCACCGGGCGCGTCTCCCCTCAAGGTCAGAGGCGCTGGAGAGCGGGGAGGGGGGTCGGACTGCGCCGAAATAAAGCAGAAGGTTTCCCCGTGCTGCCCGGCTCGGCTGCAGCGATGCCCGCCCGCCCTTGCAGGTGCTGCTTTCGGTGTGAACCTGGAGTGACTCCGCTGGGAGCGGGGAAGTTAATCCGGAGCGCTGCTGGGGACCCCAGGTCTCCCCTCAAGGTCAGAGGCGCTGGAGAGCGGGGAGGGGGGTCGGACTGCGCCGAAATAAAGCAGAAGGTTTCCCCGTGCTGCCCGGCTCGGCTGCAGCGATGCCCGCCCGCCCTTGCAGGTGCTGCTTTCGGTGTGAACCTGGAGTGACTCCGCTGGGAGCGGGGAAGTTAATCCGGAGCGCTGCTGGGGACCCCAGGGTCTGCGCTGAGCGTTGCTGGGGCGCGCACACTCCTCTAACTCACCGGGAGGCTTAGGATCCGGTCTGGGCTGCGCGCTGCCCCTCTGCCTCCTGCTCCACGGCGTTGTCTCCTTATAACCTTCGCTTTCCCTGGTACAAAGCAGCACCTCAATGGCGAGTCTACTACAGCACGCTGACAGGGGAGTCCCGGCTGAGGAGCCCTGCCCCCTTGCAGCCCACAAGCGGAGAACCGGTGTAGCACTGTAGTTCTTGTAAGACAACCCCCTTTTCGTTCCGCCTTGAAATTCCCAATCCAAATTAGGTGCGGGCCTTTCCGTCCTGCCTTTCCATCAATGTCCCATCAGTAGCTTGCTTGGAACTGAGTTGCTTTCTGTCACTATGACCCATGCTAGTCTAGATGCCTGCTCTAAGCCCAGTTGTTGAATTTCAGGGGAGAGGGGGAGTGCAGGGGGTTATTGTGGCTTGTGATACACAGGTGGTTACACAAGAGGAGCTGGTGTCTCCTTTGGCCTGACACTCCATGAGTGTGAGGCATGAGTGACACAATTTAAACCTGCACCTGGAGTCACTGCTCCCAGGAAACTAGCACTTTCAGCACCTGATCTTGTCCCGCCTATTGCTGTACCCTTAACTCAGAGCATCTTTAGGGGCAGGCACCTGCTTCTGGTTCCCTTTGTACAGCGCCACATGACGGGCCATGATTTCAGCTTGGGGCTCCTGGTGTCTTGCTTATTCTCAGTCAAGGATAAAAGAAGTGGAAACAACATCGGCCACCAGCAATGGGGAGGAGCTGACCCGGAACAGTTTCCAGAATTCTTCTTGGTGCAGATGTAGCTGGGTTCTCATTCAGGTCTCACTGAACCCCACAATCCTAAGGTGCAGTGGGTAGGGCACCAACTTAGGGAGTATGAAGGGGAAAGCCTTTTCACTGGCGTGGAGGGGGCTAGCTAGCTCCCCTGGGTCTGTGCTGTGTTAACAGGTGCACCAGCAAGGCTTGCTCTGCCAGGAGAAGAAGGGGCCTGAAAGGGGAAAGTTACCACGGGCAGGGCTGGTGACCAGGCAGAAGATTGCTTCGTGCAGAGGCAGGCTAGCTGAGGACACAGCTGTGGGGCACAGCGCTTCCAGAGTCACCCAGCTGACAGCCAAGCTACACACCCTAAGAAGGGGAAGGCAGGAGGTAAACCCCATCCAGGTGCAATAGACATTGAGAGACAGAGCCCATAAAGTTCTATCCAGAGGCTGATGCTGACCCCTGTTCCAGCTAGACTCTCCTCCCTCACAAGAGGAAGGGAGGAAGAACCAGTCTCTGCCGGGTGCAATGGCCCTCAGAGAATTCCCCCAAATTCAGTTACTGCGGGAGTTCAGAGGATAAATAGTGAGACCTGGAAGTAGGCCTAGTGAGCCTTGTCCCCTCCTACAGGGAGTCAGAACAGGTTCTACTCTTGATTCTGCTGCTGTGTGACCCTGAGTAAATTGTGGCTCCTCTCTTCCTCAGTTTCCCCATCAGTAAAGGGAGGTTAATTACACCTACCTCCTTTGTAAAGCACTTTTTGTGGCTGGAAAGTGCTGTGTAGGAGCTAAGTGTAGTCATTATGTCTCCTGCTAGTGGATGTCATGTTGCTTCCACAATCTTTATTTCTCTATTTGCATTCAATGCATCTTTTTAAAAGAGAAGCTGAGTGACTCAGCAATATCATATTCCCCTCCCACCTCCCACTGAAGATGGCACCCTGGACGACTGCTCTTCTGATCCATCCCTAAAAACAGCACTCTTCGTACACCATAAATGGGTCCCTGATCTCACTTTGGAGTCTGCAGTAGCTAGTCCAATAAAAGGTTGTGTAACTGTTTGGAGCACAGCACTTACAGTGCCTCCTCCAGGACACTCTGGGTATTAGCTCAGGACTATCGCCCTCATCCAGAGTCTTACGCCCTGTCACTTCATCTGTGCAGTATACTTGTAGCCCCTCTGCATGCGTCCTCTTCATGGCTTAGCCTTGCAGCCACGTCATTCTCTGTGATCCCCTATTCTGATGAGGGGAGAATGTAGCCCCTAATCTGGTTGTGATTGCAATCAACAGTCCTATCATATCCACAGTGGCAAATGGGGAGGATCCAAGCCCACCCTGCTCCAGATTTCATCCTCGGTTCTCAGTTCAAACCGTAGCTAGTAGCTGCCTGGAGCTTTAGGAGTGTACCTTGGACAGCGTAGTGTAGGCAGAGACTCCAGGAAGAGGTGTTCTCCAGAGGCTGCTGGGACCCAGGATGCTGTGGAATTGGGAAATGCAGTGATCACAGAGGCTAGTGAGACTTGAATGAAAAGCAGATAATAGGAGAGGGGACGTGAGGAGCAATCAATCAGGGCCTAGTAGACCCACGTGAAGAGCCTCAAGGCAGAGACCTATCTCAGACCTCCTGTAAGGGTTAGGCACTGAAATAAATTGTCTAGGGATGTTGTGGAATCTCCATCTTTGAAGATTTTTAAGAGCAGGTTAAGCACACACTTGTCAGGGATGGTCTAGATAATGCTTAGTCCTTCTCTGAGAGGAAGCATCTGGACTGGATGACCTTGCAAGCTCTCATCCAGTCCTGTGAGTTTTTGGTTTTGCTCTAAAAGCAGCCCCTCATAATAAAGTAGAGCAATCAAAGAGCTGCTCCAATTTGCATCAAGTGGCTAAGGTCCCTATGGCATACATTGCCAACCATAACACACTCCTTCCCTGCCTGCAAAGCGGGGCTGAGGCAGTAAAGAGACAATCCCGGAGTTAAGTGCCAAACAAAATGGAGTGTGGTAGCATGTGACCCTGGGCTCCATCTTGTTGTTTACATAAAACTCTGACTTCAAACCGGTTGGGACTGGATTTTCCCGCCTTTGAGGCCCGGAGCGTCCCACTGGCTCCCCTCCAGCCGCACGGAGGTTCCGTTTACCTCAGAGTGACAGAATGGAACGTTCCAGGTTTCCCGCCAAAATGGCTGCAAAAGGCCTCTGGGATGCAGGGGGCCTTGGAGGGGCACCGCTGAGAGCGTCAGCTCAGGGCAAACTGCTGAGAGCCAGGCCTAAGCACAGCCCATGCCCGGGGGTCTCCCCCACCCCACAGGGCTTCCCCCACCTGGCTCGCCAGTACGCGCACAAGCAATTCCCTCCGGCCAAAGCACCAGCCACAGTTCTAGGTCAATGGATAACTCAGTGACAACTCCTGAAGACTCACCTCAGCCTGCCGCTCCCTCTTCGCGCGGCTTCTCTCCGTTGGTCTCCTCGGCTCCCTGTACCCGACCATCGCAGTCCTGAGCATCGCCAGCGCGCACCAATCCTGCACCCACATACAAGTAGGAAACGCCATTCTTTATAGGGTGCTGGCCAACGGAGGGAGAGATCGGGGCCGGGGTTTCGAGCCCTGCGGGGTCTCACTGTTTTTACTCTTGTTACTTAACTGGCTATTATGGGAGCTATTGATCGTTGCATGTGTTTTTCACCCAGTCCTTTTATTGTATCGTATCCCTCACATCCTTGTTTCCACCTTACTTACCTGTTTCCTCTTTATTTCATATTACGCTGGGGCCCAATCCACTGTGGGAAAAGCAGGTAAGTGGGTATCTGCGTTTCTTAGAAATGGGCTACACATTCTTTAGCTTTCGCTTTGTCCTTTGTCTGTTTCTCTTTGTCTTTTTAGGTAACAGAGGGTTGGGAGGGAGAGGCTGTGGCACCTACCTATGTTACACCATCCCAGGGGAGAACTCCCCAATGCCAGGAATTCTCAGCTAGCTAGCTGATTCCCTGCCCTTGCATTGCTTCAGTGTGACAAAATGGCTAGAACGGAAGCACAATGTACATTTTCCATTGCTCAGTCCCATCCCATTCCTTCTAGTATCCCTGTTCAGTGACCAAGCTTGGGCAGAGGAAAAATTTGGAAATCTCTCTTCAGCTTACTCAGTGCTATCCAACCCAAGACAGCTCCACTTATAACTAGTTGGGGGGGACTGTAATCGAACAGTTTTCTAGCAACAAATGCCGTTTCATATAAATGGAAACATTTGCAAGAATGTCAATTTTCAATGAAATTTTCGATGAAAGAAGGACAAAATGAGGGATTTTGTCTGTCATTTCATTTCAATCATCTTAAATCATTTTGGTAAGGTAAATGTGTTTTGCCTTGACTTTACCATATTTTTTACTTTTATGTTATATCTAATATTTTACTATATGTGCACATAATATCCCATATTTTATATTAGGTTATGTTCTGATATTATCAGAACAAATTTGCATGTCAACATTTGGGGGGATTCTGTTTCACAGAAAATTTCAAACTTTTGAGTTTTAATTCTGATTCCTAAAGCAAATTAATTTGAAATCAAGGCAATTTCCTGCAAAATGGCAATTCCATTTTCTGACCAGCTCTATTTCAAGCTTTCCATCATAGTTCAAATCCTTTAGCAAAGAGGATGCAGAAAGGCCAGTGGAATGTTTACATGAAAAGCTAGCTGTTCCACTACTGGATGGTTTATAGGAATCAAATAAACTTTCATTCCTCCCATCTCTTGAGAATGATCCAAACCCATCAAATCAGTAAAAAGACATTCGCTGACTTTAATGATCAAACCCAATTATGTTCAGCATAATCTTTATTTTTAATATTTCACTGGGTATGAAATGAATTAGTGCAAATCAGTCATGGAAGGACTTTCATTACTGAGGAGATTAAGTTGCAAAGAGGGCTAGTTGAATTTTATGTTGTGTACACAAGATCTCTGATAGAAAATTAATAAATGTACTAAATGAATAATTCAACAGATAGCACCCTAGAATCATCTTGTTTGCCATTTTGAGGCTGGCCTTCTTAGACCCCAATGCTGCAAAGTACCGAAGCATGTGATTAAATCCATCCCAATTCAGTAATGCACTTAAGCCAGTGCTTGACTGCTTGTCTGAGTAAGGATGATTTGATGAATCAGGTCCTGAAAAAGTAGTGATACATGTAAAGAAAGGGTTTACATGCCATGCATGGACCATATAAAAATATAATGTTAGAATGCTGTAGTTCTTTAATTTGTTTAAAAGAAAAATAAAATTTAGCCAACAAGTTAAGTCCCGTTCTGAACGCTTTCCTCTCCCATTAAGTGTCCCCACTGAGCAACACATCCCGGCAGACAGGTTGACATAACTCCAGGAATGTGGAGGACACTTTGCCAAGGTATGAGAGCTC